GCCCTAGCCAGAATAATTATGCAGGAAAAAGAAATAAAGAAATCCAAATCAGAAAGGTATAAGTAACATTGTCTCTGCAGACGATATGATCTTAAATATAGAAAACTCTAATAAAGACTCTACCAAAAATCTGTTAAAACTATTAAATTAAGTAATGTATCAGGATACAAAATCAACATACAAAAATCAGTTGTGTTTCTGTGCACTAACAATGAATTATCCAAGAAAGAAATTGAAAAAACAATCCCATTTAAAATAGCATCAAAAACAATAAAATACTTTGGAATAAGTTTAACGGAGGAGGTGAAAGATTTGTATACTGACAACTACAAAACATCAATGAAAGAAACTGAAGAAGACACAAATAAATGGAAATACATTCATGTTTATGGATTGGAAGAATTAATATTTAAAACAATCTACAGAATCAATACAATTTCCATCAAAATTCCAATGGCATTTTTCACAGAAATAGAAAAAGCAACCCTAAAATTTGTATGAAACAACATAAGACCTCAGAGAGTTCAGGCAATCTTGATGAAGAACAACAAAGCTGAAGGCATCACTCTTCTTGACTTCAAGCTATATTACAAAGCTGTAGTAATCAAAACAGCATGGTATTGGCATAAAAACAGACATATAGATCAACGGAACAGAACAGAGAACCCAGAATTGACCTCATACATATATGGTTATCTAATCTTCAATAAAGTTCCCAAGAGTGCACAATGGGGAAAGGATAACCTCTTTAAAAAATTAGTGTTGGGAAAGCTGGATATCCACATGCAATAGAATGAAATTGGATCTTTATACTGTGTACAAATAAATAGCTCGAAATGGATAAGCTCAAAAGACTCATATATAAGACCTGAAATCATAAAACGTCAAGAAGAAAACATAAAGGGAAGAACTCCTTGACATGGGTCTGGCTCTTTGGAGAGAACCTTGGAAAGAAGAGATGTAGAAGATTCCTCTATAATTTAGGTGCTACCAGGAGCCACCCACTCTTTGACAACCAGCTAAGATTGCCTTTCCCACCATCTTCCACTTTCCATGTATGTATTGGTTTTCGTGCTTTTCCTGAGGACTTTTGCAAATCTTTTCTGCTAGTTACTTTTACATTCTATAATTTAGGGCTGTTTCTTTAGTTGTGATCCAGCATTGACTCAGACTTGAGTCAAACATAATTGCATTTCTCCCAAAATTCGCTCGTAAGAGTCAGCAAAAGGCAACTTGTGAAGGCAAATGCCTACAACTGTGTGTGGTAGAGTTTACTGGTGATTGAAGCATGTGGGGGTATACCTTTTAGCACCATTTAGAAAATAATCTAAAATTGAATATTAGCTTTTCTAGTCTTCTGAAAGTCTTATCCATTTCCATGAACTTGGAGTTCCTTGTCTTCATGTTATTCAGCTTTCCCTCCTTCTTCTCCTTCCAGATGTGATAAAATTCCTTGTATTTTATTATTATGAAGAGCATTTCAGCTCTAGCACTTAAAACTCCCCCATAATTCACACTCTACTTAAAACATTTTTTTTAAATGTTTTATTTATTTCTGAGAGAGAGACAGCATGAGAAGGGGAGAGTCAGAGAGAGAGGGAGACACAGAATCTGAAACAGGCTCTGAGCTAGCTGTCAGCACAGAGCCTGACGTGGGGCCCGAACCCACAAACCGTGAGATCATGACCTGAGCCGAAGTCCGACGCCTAACCAACTGAGCCACTCAGGCGCCCCTAAAACATTTTTTAATAGTTTAAATTTATTTTTGAAACAGAGAGATACAGAGCATGAGTGGGGGAGGGGCAGAGTGAGAGGGAGACACAGAATCTGAAACAGGCTCTAGGCTCTGAGCTGCCCGCACAGAACCCGATGCAGGGCTGAAACCCACGAATCATGAGATCATCATGACCTGAGCCGAAGTTGGATGCTTAACTGACTGAGCCACCCAGGCGCCCCAATTCACACTTAACTCAAGATTTATTAATGTGCTCTTCTAAAAAAAGGTTCATGTATTTCAAGTGTTACCCTTTCTTTTCTCCCCTTCCCTATTCATTTTTATAGGAGCAGGGAGAGGAATATGGAGGCTTATTTCCCCAGAGTTAAGAATTATGACTTTACCTTAGAAGATAGGAGGGTACAGTTGATTTTGTCCTTACATAACAATTGCAACAAAATCTCCATTATGTTAGCGCCCTACTGTAAAGAGTTGGGAAATGTTAGTTTACTAGAAGGGCCACTGAAAAAAGACTCAAGAGACTAGGTTCTTTTCCTGATTCTGTCATTAGCTAGTTGTATGATTAGGGGGAAAGCACCTCACTGCACCTGTAAGAGCAATATCTAAATTCCCTGCCAATTCTATGAATCTATGAGTTGTCTGAGAGTCTCCCTGGTGGCAAGTCCTTCTATAATTGCAGCCATGGTTGAGATTTCTGCTTTGACAGGTGGGTGGACAACCCACCACTCCGGACCATGCCCCACCCTTTCCTTGGCCAGCTGTCTGTTCAATGTCTGCTGTCAGAAACAATAGAAGTTTTATAGGCCAAGCTTGGAGCCAGACACAGGCACAGATTCTGTTTTTTTTCCAACTCAGAACTTGTTTTATTTGCTCTCAGAACTGGCTTCCTTATTTGTACACTGGGCATAATAATATTTACCTTGGAAAACTATGTTTAATACAGTAGTGCAAGTGAAACACTTAGTAAAGTGCTGGCACTAATATGTACTCAGTAAATGGAATTTATGATCATGACCATAATGTCTGCTCTAAAGGGGCCAGATAAGCATCTTGGCAGAGTCTTTCTGGGTTTGCTGATATATCTTACTGTTATGTGGTAGAATGTACTCAGGTTACTGTACAGGTTAACTCTTAAACTTTGGTTTTGTTGAGTGGTAAATATAATGAGAGGGAGAGCTAAATAGTTCTGAACAGCAGTTTTCTTTCAAGTTGTGTGGAAGAAGTAGATTGATTGAAGGGTTGGGAAGAGGGAAGACTTTGTAAAGGAAAAATTAACATGACCAAAGGGGAATTTGATTTAGTTTCTGCAGAGTGATGAGCAACATGTATCCTTTACCTGTGTCTCCATGAATCTTTGTTTTATTTTAATTTTTACATTTTTAAAATATTTATTTATTTTTGAGAGACAGAGCATGAGCGGAGGAGGGACAGAGAGAGAAGGAGATACAGAATCTGAAGCAGGCTCCAGGCTCTGAGCAAGCATTCAGCACAGAGCACAATGCAGGGCTGGAACCCATCATGACCTGAGCCGAAGTCAGACACTTAACCGACTGGGCCACTCAGGTGCCCCTTTTTAAATTGAAGTATAATATAATGGTTTCAGGTTCCAGTGTTATAATGGTTTCAGGTGTACAATACAATGATTCAGTAATTCTATATGTTACTTAGTGCTTGGGATTCCCTTTATGTGTTTCACCCATCCATGAATCTTAAATTTATATATTTACGACACATTATAAATAGCACTATGGAGTGAGATCTATTTTGGGGATTCATCAAAGTGTGGAATCCTGTTTCATGGTGGGCTGAGACTGTAAGAAAATCCTTTCACTCAAGACACATATTCTGAAGATTTTAGGCAGATTATAATTGTAGGTAGTGATTCAGCCCTTGGGATAGGATACTATATCCTCAGTGCTGTTGATGTTCAAACCTGGCTCTCGCCTCTGAACCTATGAAAAATGGCACAGATTTGTTACTGCCGTGGACCTTCCTCCCTCCTGTCTCCATGCATTAGGGGTGTACTTTCCTGATGGAAAGAAACAGCTTCTGAGGAGATACTGCCTGCACCATGGAGCAGTGCCCTCTACTGTTCCTGAGGGAACCATGCAGCCTGTCAAATCTTTTTTTTTTTAAATTTTTAAGGTTTATTTATTTCTAGGAGAGAGAGAGAGACAGCGTGAGCAGGGGAGGGTCAGAGAGAGAGGGAGTCACAGACTGAAACAGGCTCCAGGCTCTGAGCTGGCAGTCAGCACAGAGCCCGACGCGGGGCTCGAACCCACGAACCGCAAGATCATGACCTAAGCGAAAGTCGGACGCTTAACCGACTAAGCCACCCAGGCGCCCCAACCTCAGTCAAATCTTGAGGGAGGTGCGCTGTTGCAGAGCTAAAGCAAACTGGTTGGTCTCCTTCTGTAGTGATTAACGCTGGGAACTGCTGTACCTACAGCCAGTCTCTTCTGTAAATACTCAGCTGGAGAAGCAACAGCTGCTTCCCTACACTGTACTCGTTTTGGGTAGGCTCTGGACCTCACATTACATAAGAATGCCCCCTGCCCATTTTCACTGCGAACACTGGAGGGCTTCTATTAGTTTTGCTCTTTAATGGAAAGAACTTAAAACAGTGATTTTAACCATTGATCCTTCCCTTTAGAACTCTGTGTCTCAGGATTATAAAATAAAAAATTCGATACCACTTTAAGAAAGTACAGTTACTATCTGTGATGAGATAAAGGCATATAGCACACAAACCAGCAGTTCATTGTCAAACATTTATACTAGTAGGGGGATCAACATATTTTTCCTTCTTTCTTTTTTTATTCCTCCTTCCCTTTTCTGCCCCTTCCTTCCCTCCCCCTTCTCCACCTTTTAAATAAAATTATCTAAAATACAACAGAAGCTTCTTCAGTTATGATATTACATGATTAAAATTGTTTTCCTGAGTTTCTCTACCTTTTTTTTTTTCTTGCTGGCTTTCTTTACCCTCTGAGTAGACATCTGTGTTCTGAATTCTCTCAGCTACTGTATTCTGGGTATAACTCTAAACAACACAATCAACATTTACCTTTACTGAAACAACAAACAGAGAAATTCTGTGGATTTCAAGCTGGTGTTAGGGATTTGTGTCCCCTACAATAACTTTTGAGCTGTTTTTCAGCATCTTTCCACTTGGCTACAGCAGAGAAAATATAGTGAATAATGAAATATGCATGAAAGAAAACTTTAAAAATACACTCTTAAAATAAATGACTCTGAAACCACAATGTGTGAAAGTACTCTTTTTTTCATGATTGAGTTTCAAATTCATGCATTTAGAAGGTGTGGATTTCTTGCTTTATCATGTGGTGGGACGCTGGTAAATGGGAGCTGGCCCAACCTGATCTTTCTCTTCTGCCAAGAATGAAATCCGATTCAGTGTGGCATCGGCCACCCAGTAGGAAGAAAACTGCCAGATTCCACTGGATCCTAAGATTCCAGTGCCATTCAGTGTAGGAATAAATGCTGCATGCAGTGCAGATCTTTACTGACAAGGTGGAAGGTATTTCCATGTAGGGTGCTGGGTAATTAACTCTGGGTTATGGGTAACTGTCAGTGTACAGGTGTTTTGTATTTTTACTCTGATGCCAGGAGAAAAGGGTTTGGTTTTCTTCTGAAGCAGGGGATTAAGAATTTACTCATTTTAGGTAATTTGTCAAGAAAGAGAGTTGCTTAATTTTATGGTATTTCAATCTGGTTACTTCTATTTAAAATATCCATCTAGGGTAGAAGATGCTTTTAGTTTTTCAACTGAGAATGCTTTTGCTGACACATGGTTGGCTTAATGCTAGGCCTCTTATTCTTCCTCCCAGGCTGGCAGATTCCTTGGATCTGATGTCACCTCCTATTGGACATAGGCACGAGGAATTACTCCCTCCTCTGTTTTTCTATTGTGGGACTCATCATGTCTGCACATAATCTGTCTCTTCTTTTCACCTGCCCAAAGACAGATGCTCTGTCTTTTTTATCTTTATATCTCCGACACTACACAGTACTAGGCATTTAGCTTCTTTCTCTTCCTTTTCTCATTTCTCTTTTCCTTTTGTTCTCAAATCTTGAACAATATGACCTCATCATTTTGAGGAATAATTATTTTTGAAATGTAGATGTGTAGAGATGTTGCCTAAACAGACCAATTGATACTAAGTTAGAAAACCCAGGTTTGACCATAGAAAAGAAGGGTAGGTTGAACATTGACTTTTAGTAAATAAATGTTTCTCTTCTCTAGGGGCAGCAGTTCCAGAAAAGCCTGAAAAGTGCCAGGAAGGGAAGTTGTGCTCCTTGGGGCCTCCCTTGGTATTTTGAATATTGAGTCTTCAGACCACCCCCCTGACCTCCCAATTGTGGGTGCCCTGAGATTAGGTTGACTTCCTAGACTGAAGGGCTTCCTGGGCAGGCAAGGGTGAGGCTGGCAAAAACTGAAATCAGTCTTGGTCCTTTAGAAACTTGGCACTGGAACAGAGGGCTCGGCTCAGGAATGGAAGGAGAGATGCATCTTAAACTCTGGCACTGGGACCTTAAGCATAGGTACCCTTGGCTGAAGTTAACGCTGAAGCATGGGACCTACTTTCTTCAGCAAAATACACTGCACAGGGTCCTTAGACTGCACACAAGGCAGTCCTGTATCTTAGTCGAGATGGTCCTGTTTGATTTTTCTTGTTTTGCCATAGGTAATAGTGACCTTTTCTATTTTTTAATGTTTGTTTTTTGGTGGGGGAGGGCCTGGGAGAGGGGGACGAAGAATCCGAAACAGGCTCTGCGCTGACAACAGAGAGCCTGATGTGGGGCTCAAACCTACAAACCATGAGATCATGACCTGAGATGAGGTTGGATGCTCAACTAAGTGAGCCACCCAGGTGCCCTATATGTGTCTCAATTTGGATGATCAGTTATTTGATCACCTTGTGCAGGACTAGTTCTCAGTGTTGACACTGTGTGGCCTCAAGAGGCAGTGAATTAAGGGGTTTTTATGTTTGTTCCTTGCTAGTGTGGAAGCGAGAATGACCCCTCCCTCCTCTTGCATTTCAGTGCTGTCACAGCTCTGGAGAATGTAGGAGGGTCGGGAAGCTTCAAGAGGGAGTTTGAATGTATCATGTTAATAAGGCACGTGGATACTTCAGTAATTAATTGGAAAAATGAGGGTTTGATCATATGTATGTTATCCCAAGTTTGTGAAACAGTTTACAGTCTTATGCTATTTAGTTTAGAGTCCTTGCTTTAGCCTTAGAAACCTAATTATTTACATGGTTTTTTAATAGAGGTTATTTATTTATCTTTTATTTTTTCAGTGGCTTTTCAGTATCTCAGTCTATGAACTTGACAAGTTGTAGTTCCTACTGCCAGGAAGACACATGCAGTGAACTGTAGCTTTAAGAATTTGTTTAATTGATAAAGTTGGATGTTTACATGTAAAGCTAAAATTAGTGGTTAAATGGGCATCTGCTTTTGCCTCCTCAGTATCCCTTTCTCTTTTTTGGGGGGAAAAGAGGTTGGAAATGTGATTCACAGTCATGCTTGACTAATCAGAGCACTCCCATTCCTTAGCCCACACTGAGTTTGGGGCAGGGGTAGGCATTGACCCAAGCTAGGTCCGTTTCTCTGAAATTTCCTGCTGTAGCTGTTGGAAAAGATGGTTTCATTCTACCAAGGCTGCTAATCTTGTACTAAGGGACTTAGGCTGTTGGCAGTATCTTGCCACTAAAAGGAGAATGCCAATTTAAAGAGAGAGAGTGAGGAAATCCCAGTGACATTGCTTTGAAACTCCTGGACCCAGCCATGCTGGAAACCCCAGATTTTTAGTTCCATGAGGCAATACCACCCTACTTTATTGCTATAAATTTATAAATTACCTTAAATCAAGGTCACTTATAACCAAAGAGTTCTAATATAAGCAGTGAGTGACCTTCTGCATTGCAGGGATCCAGTGTCTCACATTTTAAAGATTTTCTAGAAGAATTGGTCAATTCTAACTTTGCTTACCATCTATAACATTGTTCCCCAAATAGTCTAGTTTGTTTATTATCTGGTGCTATTTAGCTTAGCCGGTAGTCCTAGAAATCTATTGACAGCTTTCTACTGGGCAATATCAAACTTGGAAAGACAACATGGAGAGGGAAGATAATCAAGTAGACAGACCTGAAGGGAAAAACTGAAGAAAACCTTTTCTCTATGCAGATTCTGCGTCTGTTGCTCTACAGACTCAGACACCACTTGCTTTCTTTTGCTCAAGGGTATTTCTTGCGAATCAGTGGGGTAACATGTCCTCTGTCTCAAGTGTGAGAGATGGAAAGAGGAAGCATCTTAGCTTCCATAGGATGTCCCTGCTCAATATCTTGGGCAGTGTGTTGATAAGGAGATCTGGATTTATAAAACTTAGGTGGAAAAGCAAGTAGCCCAGCAGTCTGATGAGAAATAGGGTGGTGAAAAAGACATATTGAAAAAACCTGAAAAGAGAAAGTCAAGAAACTGTTAACCAGAGGTTAGAAAACCAGGAACAAAATAAAACGTATACCTAAATGCATGTCTGGCTGCTTCTCAATATGCATATGTCTCCTACTAATTGTTGTCTTCATTACTGACAACCCCCTGCACAGGTAGCTCCTTCCCAAATGCTGGCTTGCGGGTACTCTCTCTTCCATCACCATGTTTGATTTTCTTTTAGTGTTTATCCCTGGCTGAAATTATCTTGTTCTTTTGTTTTTTGTCTTATTTTTTTTGTTTTGCAAAGTTGCTTTCCAAAGTATTTTGCACTGATTTGTAACCCATCAGCAGGGTATGTGTTTCTGTGGGTCTGTATTTTTCTCCAACACGTGATATCATCAGACTTAAAAAAAATTGCCAAATGTGTGTAAAGTTATGGTCTTAGTTTGCATTTCCCTGATAAACAATGATGCTGAACATCTGCTCACAGGTCTTACCTATTTCCTCTTGCCCATTTATCTGCTAGGTTGCTTGGGCTCATCGTATTGATTTGTTGGAGTTCTTTATATGATCCTGATATCAGTCCTTTTCCACTGTGTGGAAAAGATTGTGACTATCTTCCCTCTACTTTATAATTTAGTTGCTCTAATGTGTTAAAGAACAAAAGTTATTAATTTTAATAAAATCTAGGTTATCAGTCTTTATTTAGAACCAGTGGTTTTTATGTCTTATTCAAAAAGACCATTCCCTACGTCCAGGCCTAACAGATGTTCCTATTTTCTACTAACAGTATATGTTAGTTTAAAATATGCCCACACTATTTGATCTTCTGCCCTTGAAGAGACTCTCCTCCCTTGGACTGTGGGCTGGACTTAATGACTTGGTTCTAAAGAAGAGAGTATCATGGAAGTGCCAGTGTGTGACTTCCTAGATTACACACTAAGACCATTGCAGCTTCCTCTTTCCTGTCAGGAGGAAGCAGCTGTCCTGTTGGGAGGACACATAAGGAGCCCTGGGGAGAGGTCTGTGTTAGGAGGAACTGAGACCTGCTGCCAACAAGTAGCAACATTTGCCAGATGTGTGAGTAAGCTACCTTGAAAATAGGCCCTCCACCCCAGCCAAGCCTTCTAATGACTCTAACTTGGCCAACATCTTAAAAACAATTTTTTTTTAAAGTTTTATTTTTATTTCTAGGAGAGAGAGAGAGAGACAGCGTGAGCAGGGGAGGGTCAGAGAGAGAGGGAGTCACAGACCGAAACAGGCTCCAGGCTCTGAGCCGGCAGTCAGCACAGAGCCCGACGCGGGGCTTGAACCCATGAACCGCGAGATGATGACCTAAGCGAAAGTCGGTCGCTTAACCGACTGAGCCACCCAGGCGCCCCTTAAAAACAATTTTTTAAAAAATATTTACTCATTTTAGAGAGAAGGAGAGAGCAAAAGCAAGGGAGGGGCAGAGAGAGAGAGAGGGAAACAGAGTCTGAAACAGGCTCCAGGCTCTGATTTGGATGCTCAACCGACTGAGCCACCCAGGTGCCCCTGGCCAGCATCTTAACTGCACCCTAATAACAGATGGTGAGCTGGAACCACCCAGCTAAGTGGCTCACAGATTCCTAATCCACAGATATTGTGAGATGATGAAGGTTTGTTGTTTGAAGCCACTAAGTTTTGGGATAATTTGTTAAGTAGCAGTAGATAACTAATATCGGTTTTTAAAGATTTTTTTTTCTTTTTGGACATTTAGTCCTTAACACATCTGGCCTTGCTTTGTAGATATACTGTATACGTTTAAATGTGACCCAGTCTCATTTTTTTTAATCTGAATAATCATTTCCCCCCCTACCATACTTATTTTATTTTAGTGTTTATTTATTTTGAGAGTGAGAGAGAGGGTGAGAGAGAGAATCCCAGGCAGGCTCCATGCTGTCAGCACACAGCCCAAAGTGGGGCTCAAACTGACAAAACTGTGATATCATGACCTGAGCCAAGATCAAGAGTTGGATGCTTAACTGACTGAGCCACCCAGGCACCCTACCATGTTCATTGAACAATTCTTCCTTTCCTCTCTGACATACAATCATTGTCACATATCAGAGTTCCATTTTGCCCTGTTTATATTTCACTGGTTCATTTTATTATTCCTGTGACAATATCACATTACTGTAATTAATATAGCTTCAAGGTTAAGTCCTAATATCTCGAAGGGCATGTTCCCCATTCTTTGCTCTTCTTTAAAATTGTCCAGGTTATTTTTGACTCTTTACTCTTCTATATCCAATATATTTTAGAATAATTTTATTAAATTTAATGAAAAATCTTTTGGGTAGGTAGGTTGGAATTTGAAGAGAATTGATATATTTATGATGTTACGGCTTTCTATCCATGATATGGTATTTCTCTTGTTTAATTCATGTTACTTTTAATGTTTCCTAATGAATTTCTGTAAATTCCCCTTAGAGTGGTCTTGATTTCTTAAACTGATGAATTACTTTGACCTTGTGGTTTTACTGTGATTTACATGAGCAAATTTCTACTTTTTCCTTTCCCGTATAACCCTTATCCAGTTGTGCTGGATTGCTGCCTGAGGCAGAACTAATTCACTACCTATGTCCACCCACCAGTCAAAAACAGCCCCTTCCTGGGGCTCCTGGGTGGCTCAGTTGGTTGAGTGCTGACTTAAACTCAGGTCATGATCTCGCAGTCTGTGAGTTCGAGGGCTCTGTGCTGACAGCTCAGAGCCTGGAGCCTACTTCGGATTCTGTGTCTCCCTCTCTCTCTCTGCTCCTCCCCCACTCACACTCTGTCTCTCAAAAATAAACAAACATTAAAAAAATTAAAAAAAAAGAAAAAACAGCCCCTTCCTCACCAATTTACTTAAGTTTTTCTCTGGATCTGATCTTGGTGATAGGAGTTAGTATCCATTATAGTATAACATCTTGGTTAGAATTAGAATCAGAAAACCTTTACAAACCTCTGCCTAGTATTCTCCTTGAAGCTGAACACAGTGTTCATAAGTAAGTTCTGGGATGTCATTCCCAGAGAAAATCCTAGGAATAATCTACCTTTCTTATCTCTTGCGTCTGTGCCCAGTATACCACTCGCACATAGGATATTGGAGCAGAGCAAGAGAAAGACTTTTGTAGTTTGATATAATGAGCTAGACTTTTAGGACTTTGTCAGATTCTCTTCAGGATAACAACCCTCTTTTAAGGCAGACAGTTCTTACCCTGGGAGTCCATGTGGGTAATTTCATGCTAGGCACTGGTGTCAAATTTTAGGTGAAGGCAGCCTCAGAATTCTAGGGAAATTCTGCTAGCTATTCTGGGAATATTGTATTTAGGGATATCTGAATATGTAATAATGAAGGGGTATCTCCCTTAAGCAAATTTTCCAGACAATTGGAGCTGACCTTTAAGCACCAACAGTTTTATGTTAAGCATTTTGATGGAACTCTTTCTAAATCATACTTCATGCCACTTTGAATATATGTTTCTCTTTGCCTTCTTAAACAAATTATATTGAACATAATCTGACCTTTTCTTAGAAATTCAGGGACTTCACAAGTGCCAATTTTATTGTGCTGTCACAGTGATTCTCTCAGGACTAATATCCACTTGGCTGTTTGAATCTTGAGCTCTTACTCAGTTTAACAAGTACTTTTAAGCAATTATTATGTTCTGGGTATTGTTGGGTGTGATCTCTCTTTCATAATCATTTTCTCTCTCATTTGCTGTTAAGCAGGGGGTATATTTGCATTTACAAGAAATCTCTCATATTTCTAATGTAACATGTTGACATTATAATAAGTTTGAGGGAGGCACATCTCACACAATAGTGTCAAAGCTCAATCACTTTATGAATCACAAAAGGATCACTCTGTTTATAATCTGATATTATTGGGGAGCCATATCCATCAAGCTAATTCAAATAATTAAAGGGAAAAGGGAATAAATATGAGATTTGCCACATCTCTCTTAGGTAATAAAATTCCTCTTTCTGATTACTAGTAGGCTGTTGGCTTCTAAAAGTGGAAAACTGAGATTAGGGATTGCCTTTGGATAAGGAAGTCATACGTTAGAACTGAGAAACTTGGTCATTGATGACATTAGTTTGTTGACTTCACTCTGGGGGTATGTGTGTGTGGGTACGTCTACAAGGGGTTCCTTGTCTAGACTTTGTTGTTTGCCAGGATGGCGAAGTGCAACACCCAGTTTTCCAGGAAGTTTACTCAAAGGTGTCTGCTTACCTTTTACAGAACCATGTTCCCTTGTTTAGGAGAGAATCATCCTTGGAGAATAAAAGACATTCATAAATAAGCAATTTCTGGAATCTACCATTCACTGTCAAATAACATTAAACGAGCCATTAATTAATGCTATATTTAGATAATATCTTGCAATTTTTTATATGCATAAACAGATGGAATTTTCAAAGACAACCATATGTATTTGCATGTGTGTGTATAATTTTGTATTACTTTTAAATATATTGATCGGAATGAGTGAAGACCTAAAAAGGTAAGGTATGTTGCCCAAGGTCATACAGCTGCTAAGTGGCAGGGCCAGGCTTGGAACCTGGGTCCTCTGAATCCACATTACAACCTTACCTCCTCCTTAACCAGTAACCCTTAAAGAAGAACCACACAAAGATATTCTAAGAGAAGTTTTAAAAGCTCTAAAAATATAAAGATGAGGATATTTCCTGGATTTCTGTGGCATCTCTCTTCCAAAATATTTTCTCAGCTATTTCATTTTCCTTTTAGCTTGCTTGTGAGATAAAAATGAAGCAGTACAATCACATTTTAAAATTGTGAAAATGATGCTCACAGAATTGGAATTAGAAAGAAACTTTCTGGGTTACAAATTTGATTCTATAGCTTGAGTGAGATGAAGCAGGATGCTAGCTGATCAGTTGCTCAAGCAGGCTGTTGTAAAGGTTGTTCAAACATCATAGGTCATTGAACCATCATGGGACTCTGGTAATCCTGAGGAAGACTTTCTCTCCCATAGGTGGTAAGAAGGAATACTTTGATTAGTCACTGGGAATAGATGATGGGATCTATCAGGGAGCACGCCAAGCTTGGTTCTTGAGAGGTGGAGTCCAGTTAATTTCAGGAGTTTTTGTTGTTTGTTGTATAATATGCAAGCTTGGGGACAGAATAACTTGTTCAGAGTAATGGGAACCATGGTCACTGTGAACATGGTTTGATATATATCCAAACATCTGGATGACCCCAAGGACAATTATTGATTGTTGATACTTGCTTTTGAGGAATAGAAGACTTCTTTTTTTTTCTGAAATTATGAAGACCACATATCTCAATGGTAAAGTTTCCGGTGAATGTCAGTTTTGGCTCTAAAGCCAATGTACATTACAAAATTAAAGTCTCATAGAAGTTTATGCCACCACAAGACATGAAGCAGGCCAAAGGGATGCTCTACATTCAATTCTGTGTCCTTTAGACCTTTGCATATATGCTAATGACATCATGATGTTAAATATGGATACTGAGGCTGTTACATAAAAATGTAATGACTTCTCATATTTTAACTCATGGGCCAGTTCTGATTAGATGGTGATATATGCCCTGATGCTCTGTGTAGTGAGAGATTTGGAACCTTGTTGTGATCACCAGGAAAGAACATTGTGATTGTGGGGGATGGGAGGAGCGATATATGTGTCCTGTCTTGGCCTTTTCTCCAAAAAGAGCTCCCTCAATTAATATTTCTTCCTGCTTCCATCCTGAACTCTGTGAGGTCGGAGGCTAGTTTCTTTGAGAACAAATCATTTGCATGGCTCTGGGAGAGGAAGGACCATTGTTACATAGCATCTTTGTGTGTTTAGGCTTGGAATGCTTTAGAATTATGTGTGGTACTATTCTTGGAAAATGCACATGAGAAGATAGGTATGTGTCTGGTGGCTTATAGTGTTTTGGAAACTCCCTCGAAGGCAATGACACTGAGAGAAACTGAAGGTGGAGTGAAATGCTTACCTTACTGTTTTGGCTGTTATACTCTTTTCTTGCAGAATTCATGCTCAAGACTTTTGATCTAAGGGAAAAAGAACCAAGGTAGGAATTGAATAAAGTACATTTAAATCTTAATATTACATCATGGTTTTTAAAAACCGTTTTTATATTCTAAAGCTATACTGTCCACTGTTGTAGCCAGTGGCTGCATGTAGCTGTTTACACTTAATGAAAATTAAAAAAAAAATCAGTTCCTCAGTCACAACAGCCATCTTTCCAGGACTCAGCAGGTGGGTAGTGGCTACATACTGGATAGCATAGAGAATTCCATTGTGTAGCCCTGTTCTAAAATCTTGGCTTAGGAATGAAGCCATACTTAGCGTTCAGGAATGATCTCAGAAGACTTGAAGGTGTCCTTTAGAGGTAAGGACCTCTAAGTCCTGGTGCCTTGGCCCCCAGGCCACAATGTAGACCTAGCCTATTTAGAGGCTGCATGAAGCTTAGACCTTTTTCTCTTAATCCCAAGACTCCTAAATATTTAATAAGTGGAACTACTTCCTGAGTGAATTAAAATTTAAATTCTAAAGAGGGTCAGGAAATGGAAGTGAGGTTTTTGGTTTTCGTTTCTCACCATTAGACTCTTGAAATACTCAAAGAGTATTTTATTTTGAGAGGGAGGCTTTTCTCTTATTATAATTTCTAATTTTAATGTTCATAGTTTAATATGGTATACAGTTTGCATTTCATAATATGTTTGACTTAGTTCATGTCTAGAGATTAGTTTCATGCCTATCCCATACGGTTGAACTTCCATACATTTTGGGGAAGTGAGGATGGTATTAATTTTAAGACCTTTTCTGTAAAATTTAAGGAATGCTCATTTTATCAAGGTGCCAGATTACTAACCCTTTTTATTCATTTTCTTTTACTTATTCATTAAAAATTTTTTAAATGTTTATTTTTGAGAGAGACAGAGCGGTGGTGGTAGGGAAGATGGGGCAGAGAGAGAGGGAGATGCAGAATCTGAAGCAGGCTCCAGGGTCTGAGTTGTCAGCACAGAGCCCAATGTTGGGCTCAAAGTCATGGACCTGAGATCATGACCTGAGCCCAAGTTGGATGATCAACTGACCCAGCCGCCCAGGTGCCTAACCCTTTTTAAAGCACATGTTCCTACCCTTAATATAAACCTGAATAGGGGCGCCTGGGTGGCTTAGTTGGATAAGCGTCCGACTTTCGCTTAGGTCCTGATCTCGCGGTTCGTGGGTTCGAGCCCTGCGTCGGGCTCTGTGCTGACTGCCAGCTCAGAGTCTGGAGCCTCTTTCAGTCTGTGACTCCCTCTCTCTCTGACCCTCCCCTGCTCACGCTGTCACTCTCTCTCTCTCCTAGAAATAAATAAAAAACATTAAAAAATTTAAAAAAAATATAAACCTGAATAATTGATAATGTGATACAATTATGAAAGAAGGTATGTTTATGCAGTCTTTTAAAGAATGATGGAGCAGCATTTTTAAATGGGTGTGGTTGAGTGGGAGTTGACCAGATCGCTAACAGAGGGGAAAGTTATGTGGTGTTGGGGCTCACTCAGTTCCAAATGGGAATTGGTCAGAGAAATGTTTGCTCTGACCCAGGCTGAGATGGAGTTACCACTAAAACCAGGATGTTCCTTTGTTTGCCAAAGCTCACACTTCTCTCTCAAGGAATCGAGTCTCTAGTTCTTCTTCTATTTTCCTCAAAGTTTCCTGGTACTTCTTCAAAGAGAAATAAAAGAAACTACAGTTAGTCACTAGAAGCCTTATGCTCTTTTTACTGTTAATAAGCATGTATTACTACATTGTCATATGGATGTTTGTTATTCCCACTGCCATTTTGTCTTCTTTCCCAATCTACCAGTCCCCCACTACTCCAGTCTCTTATTGCACTTCACCACTGGGCAGGTCCCTGTGGTTATTGGGATTACAAATAAGAAAAGTGCTCATTGTTAATTTAAGAGCTCAGAGCTTTGGAGACCAGGGCAGTAATAGAATGATTCTTGTGGTAGAGTGTCATCCTCCCTAAAGGCCTATGTAATGCCACCTCGAAGAATTAAAACTGTGTTCTTTGAAAAGCCTGGTTTCACTTCATGTTGTACCTTAACAAACCTATCACTATCCCTTTACAGAGAAACTATACCTTTATGCAGAGGGCCTGATCTTCACAGAGCTGGGCCACAAATGCATAGTCTTCTGTTACCTGCGAAGCCAAAATTCAGTCTTAAATTTAACTCAGTAAATTGCTGTAAGAACAGTAGTGTGCTCGTTTCCTCTTAAGTCCCAGGCATTAAATGTGCTTTTCTAATTGTTCTACACATGTATTTGCTGTACATATGAGATGATACCCTCCCACCCCCTTTTTTTTGAAGATCAGCAAGGTGTATTTTACAGTCCCAATGGGAATTATTTGGGGACAATAGGGAGAAAAATAGATACTAATTTATTGAAGGTGTAGATTATCGAAGGTATTCTGTAAAACATGTGAAAAGAGGAGGTAATCCGGGAGACTGTATTGAAATGATCTAATACATTCCTTCAAATCTTGAGACCAAAGATCAAGTTTTCCTTACTTTCGAAGAAGGAACATTGAAGCTATTTTCATTACCTTGGTCAGCTCTTTCTCTTGGTCTGCACAGGAAGCTTCCAGCTGTTCTAACTTCGCCTGTAAAAAGGGAAAGAGACTGGTAACTCAGCCAGGCAAAAGCAGGATTCCATTCTAAAATGGGATCGCAAATGTTATCTTGCAGGTGGTTAAAGTGCCTCAGGACCAATTTTAGACATCTTTTTAATGGAGGGATGTCAACCTTGAGATGAGAGGACACTTGAATTGAATCTGCATAATAAATATTAGCCAAATGGAGATCTGGAAGAAATATGTCCCATTCAGAAGTTACAGCAAGGACCAAAGTTGTGAAGGAGCGCTAATTTGGTGTGTATGAAGTTGTTATGTGGGTGGAGCTTAGGGGAGATTGGTAAGAATGAGATGAGGTGGGGAAAGGTAGGTAAGAGATTATGTAGGCCCTTATAGCTTCTGGAGAGTTTGGTTCTTTATTCTGATTGCAGTGAGAAGCTAAGTGAGAGCTTAAAGTTGTAAAGGCACAATCTGGTTTGTCTTCTTCTTTTTTAAATTTATTTTATTTACTTAAAAGGTTTTTAACTTTTTTTTTTAGAGAGCAAGAGCGAGCGAGAGAAAACAGGGGAGGAGGCAGAGAGAGAGAGCGAGACACAGAAATCTGAAGCAGGCTCCAGGCTCTGAGCTGTCAGCACAGAGCCAAATGTGGGGCTGGAACTCACTAACTGTGAGATCATGACCTGAGCTGAAGTTGGACATGTAATTGACTGAGCCACCCAAGTACCCCCGGTGTGTCTTTCTAAAGAAGAATCTTTTCTATGTGTGGAAGGTAGACTGTTTAGGTTTAAGTATAAAAGCAGGAGGACTAACTAGTAAGGAGGCTACTTTAGCATCCAGGTGAGGGGTTATGGTGGCTTGCAAAAGGATGGTAGTAATAGTAGTAGTAAATGCATTTGGGATATATTCTATAGGCAAAGGGGGCATATTGCAGTCTTTCTCCCCTTCCCTTTTCAGTTCTATTTTTCCTACTTTAATCGAGCTACCTCCCCCCCCCACACACACACATTTGGACTCTTCTAACAGTTACTTTTCCCTCCAGTCAGTTACATCTAGCGCCAGACGGCCAACTGTGCTATGGGCTGTATTTTAAAGACCGTGGTCTGAGTCACAAGGAGTTGAGGCAGAGATCTGTTAAACTGCTGAACTGATCACCAGCACGCAAGAGGAACAGAAGCAAAAGAGATCATGTATATTTCATGGAATTAGAGATACCATCTGAGAATTCTACAAAATAGGTGGGCAAAAGGGAATGATTGAAAGGATTAATATTACTCTTTAGGTCTGGGCTGACTGCTGCCAGGAAAATAATGGCCATTGTTGTGCTAGGAACACTCTATCTAGAGTCTGTCAGAATCAGCGCACCTGACATGGCCAGCATAGCCAGACTTAAAGTGTCACCACTAGATTCTGGCAGACTTGTTGTTAGAAAAACTGGTTTTGGGCAGAAGAAGGAAGAAAATCAGTTTTCCGACCTCTTCAGTTTTATGGTAGGATAGTCAAGGAGCTTCAAGCTCCTTTCTAGTCTTAACTGCAGTTTATTCCCCATGTACGTACAGGCTCTTGATGTCTCTCTTTCTGGATTAAGTTTCCCGGATAGGCATGCCCACACAAGTTACCTGATGGCTTTGACTTCTTTTTTTATGGCTATCACTGCTAATTTGACCAACAGAACATAGAGCTGTAATTCTCCATTCTTTCATTTTCTATTGCTATTTTCAGTGTGTCTGTATCTTCAGAGTCTTCATACACACAGTATGGGCTTAAGTATGGGCTTAAATGTGGGGCTTAAAAAGCAAAAGAGATTGAAAGATTGGGACAATGTGTTTTTCTGCTCTTTAATTTACTTGTTCTTAAATGACATGTCTAAAAATAACTATCCAGGGGCGCCTGGGTGGCTTAGTCGGTTAAGCGTCCGACTTTTGCTTAGGTCATCATCTCGCGGTTCATGGGTTCGAGCCCCGCGTCGGGCTCTGTGCTGACTGCCAGCTCAGAGCCTGGAGCCTGTTTCAGTCTGTGACTCCCTCTCTCTCTGACCCTCCCCTGCTCACGCTGTCTCTCTCTCTCTCTCTCTCTCTCCTAGAAATAAATAAAAACATTAAAAAAAAAATAAAAATAACTATCCATTAAAAAAAAAAAAAAAAAAAAAAAAAAAAAAAAAAAAAAAAAAAAAAAAAAGGAAGCATGAGAGGGCCTGGCTGGTTCAGGCAAAAGAGCATGTGCCTCTTGATCTCAGGGTCATGAACTGGGCCCCCATACTGGGTGAAGAGATTTCTAAAAAAAAGAAAGTTTAAAAAAAGCAAAGAAAAATTAGATAAGGCAAGGACAAAGACATATTCCTACAGAAATTATCAATAAGAATTTTATTTGCTCTCCAAATCTTGCATCTTTGATCAGATGGATTATGGTTATGCTCAGGCACTTAGCTGTGAAACACAATTAGGGAAATACTAAGCACTGCATGATGCCCTTAGCAGGTAGAGGCCACTATATACTTGAATGACCAATTGAATGAATCCTTTTCTGGATTGGATTCAGTGTGACAAGGTGTGTAAATTACCTAGTACACTGGAGATTCTGAAGTCCAAATCTACCTTTATGAATTCATACATATGCTTCTGCCAAACTGTTAAATAATCACCTTAAAATTATGACTTTTTAATGTTTTAGAACTCCCAAAACAGAATATTTTATATACACAATTTCATTCAGTTTTCAGACTGAGTCTGGGAGGAACTGATTAAATTGCCCAACTTCATATATCACACTAAGTACCTCTGGGGCTGGGATTTAAATGAGGGACTTCAACTATCTCCAAAGTTATATACACATTTGTACATTTGTGTCTTGTTCTTTTTGATGGAGAGAGAGCAAAATATATGGCTGCAGACTGAAAGCCCTTACTAAGGGGAGAGGAGAATTCAGCATTTAGTATCCCAGGTTTAATCCTGGCATGGCTGAAACTACAAAGAATTTATCCCAACTTTGACAATTGTTTCCACTTGAAGGCTTGTGTTTCCTGGTCACACAGCCCAAACCCATTCGAGATTGCTTTTTTGTTTACCGTTGACTCTTCTGGGGTTCCCTTTAGATTGTCTTGTTCACACTTGATTGCCTTACGTGATTTCCTTGTAAGCTGTGGTTTCAAACAGAAAAAAATACATGTCAATTAAAAAATATATCAAATAAAACGATAGAGCAGACAAAGACATCTGTTCTCTCATGTGGGGGAGCCAGTAACTTGGCCCTGATCAAAGCTGCCAGGATATGGTCCCTTGGTAGATACCTGGTGTCTTTGGGAACATCTTTAATCTACCTCCATCTTCTTCTCACTAGTTTTGGCCACCAAAGTTGCTCAAAGCAGGAGTACTTTCCTGAACCCCTAATCCATGCCAGATTATTCAGGCATGTGGGTATGGGTCAGAAGGTAGGGTAATCATAAAGAAATCCACTGTATTTTGACCAGGAGTTGAAGTAGAGGGAATATCTGGACAAAGAAGAAGGAATTTTTAGGAGTTAAGTGTTTTTAAAAGTCTGTGTTGAAAATAAAGTTAACCTCTCACCACAAAGGTCCCAGTCAATCCCTTCAACAGAATATCTGTTGGAATCAATCTCCTTGTGATAGAATGAAGAACCTATGAGATCACTGAATACCTGGTATACCCTATCCACTCCTTTCATTTGACACTTGCAGGGAAAATTCATGGCACTTAGGTCATGAGACTCAGCCTCAGGAGAATGGAGCAGGAATAGTACCTACACACAGCATAGGCCTCTCTGACATGTGGGATCTTCTGTGATTATTTGCCCTCCCTTGCCTCTTTGACAAGTGGTGCTGCTGTGGGGACACAGGGAACACACAAGAGCCCCACCTCACCTTTCTTTGAAGTTCTTCTATACTGTGGACCAGAGTCTCATTCTTCCTATCCTATTGAGAGGATGAAGCAGAGTTTAAGTGTGCATCTTTGTACTGCCATCTTGATTCAGTTGATTGTTCTTTATTTCACCCCAGTGACCTTTTCCTACAGTAACTGTACCTTTCTGCATAATGTCAGGTAAAAGACCTGTGGTTTGATCTCAATACATACACACCAACTTACCAGGAATCGAGATGACCATGTGCTGGGCTTCCCAGTATTAAATATTACCAGAGACACCCTACCCTCCACACATCCCCCTCCATGCAAGGACATATTTTGCTATGACTTTTGAGTTGACTACACTTTGTATGTAAAAAGGGGAAACTATTGTTTCTGACAGTGAGGAGGAATCAACCCTATCAAATGGCTTTTCCCTGCTTCTTTTTTTTAAAGCATTTTTTAAAGTTTATTTATTTTGGAGAGAGAGCTAGCAGGAGAGGGGCAGAGAGAGAGAGGGAGGGAGAGGGGGAGGGAGAGGGAGGGGGGAGAGAGAGAGAGAGGGAGAGGGGGAGGGAGAGGGAGAGAGAGACTGACTCCCAAGCAGGCTCCATACTGTCAGTGCAGACTTGAACTCATGAATTGCAAGATCATTACCTGAGCCAAAGTCAAGATTCAGACACTTAACCAAAAGAACCACCCAGAAACACCATGCTCTTCCCTAATTCTTGCTTACGAGTCTGGCTGTCTCTTCTTTCAGCTCCTGCAAGGCTTTTTCCCTCTCCATCATGGTGTAGTTTTCCTTTTCCCATTCCTCATCTTCAGCCAAGTCTCTGGTCTGAGCAATCTCACCTTCCAGCCTGGACAACGCAAGCACACACTATGAGGAATTGACAGCTTTAGAAGTAATAAAACACATAAAAAAAGGGTACTTTCCTGGATCCTTAGGATCAGAGTCTCTTTAAAGACAAGAAAAGTAAGATTCCCTTGATTACTACATCAAACACCCCAATGTACTTCGAGCTCATGTTAGAATCACTCATTGTTTTAGGACTCTTTTTGTTGTTTTAATGTCTATTTATTTTGAGAGCGAGAGAGAGACAGAGTGAGAGCGTAAGTGGGTTGAGGGGCAGAGACGGAGAGAGAGAATCCCAAGCAGACTCCATGCTGTCAGAACAGAGCCCGATGAGGAGCTTGATCCCAGGGTTCAGGATCATGACCTGAACCAAAATCAAGAGTTGGATGCTTAATTGACTGAGCCACCCAGGTACCCCTAGGATTCTTTTTGAAACTTGCTGTTTTGTTCAGGGTTTGAATCACAGACCAATACCAAAGAATGAAAAACAAACTTGTTTGTTATATAAGATAAAGGTCTCTAGAGTAAGTTGGAGAATTCAGTTGTTTCTTCTCCTTCACCCGGTTCTTTGGATTAGGAATTTTCCTCATGAAAACCCAACACTCACCTCTGAATCTCATTTTCTTTCTCTTGGATTTTGAGAAGAAGTTCCTGATTTGCTTCATCTATTCTCTGCATATCCTTTTCAAGGTCCATGTTCAAACTGTTAATGTTCCTCTTTGACTGGACTAATCTTAAGATTTCCACTTTCTCTGACCTACAGGTTCAGCCCCCAAAACGAACAAGAGCGAGTTATCTTAAGATCAATAACTTTCGGGCCAAAAAAGATATCTAGAAGACATATAACTCATTAGCTTGGCTATTTTTGGGAGCACACCTTTCTTTTTTCATTTTTAGGAAATTACATTTCTTAATCATGCTCTACAATTTGTTTCAATAATTCTTAACTCAAGCTCTACAATTTGTTTCAATAATTCTTAACTCAGTCAGCAAAGGAGGTCTTTCTTGGCCAAAATGCTTAGCATAATAATGTACCCTCCACTTTGGATCCAGGAGAAGTTTTGCTTCCTTTTTTTTTTTTTTTTTTAATTTTTAATGTTTTATTTATTTCTGAGAGAGAGAGAGAGAGACAGCATGAGCAGGGGAAGGTCAGAGAGAGAGGGAGATACAGAATCTGAAACAGGCTCCAGGCTCTGAGCTGGCAGTCAGCACAAGCCTGATGCGGGGCTTGAACCCACGAACCGCGAGATCATGCATGACCTGAGCCGAAGCTGGGTGTTCAACCGACTGAGCCACCCAGGCGTCCCAGAAGTTTTGCTTCCTTACATAGCCTTTTGCATTAAAGAGAATGGTTTTTCAAATTGTTCACAAAACCTGCTCATGCAGTACACTTTTATCAATTACGTTCAGTCAGGCAGCTGGTATGTAATTTATGGTTGGACACAGCTTTATGCAGAGCCACAAGAAGTTTCCACCAACAGATAGGGCTTCAGTCTTTTCCTGCCTTCTCTCAGCTGAAAATTTCTCTGCCATTGCCTATTAGAAAGCTTGAGAATCTGCTATGGGAGTCACTCCATTGAGCACACACAGAAGTAATCCAGGCTTTCACTGACAAGAATGCAGATATGTTTTTTGAAGTAAATGTGAATGAAATAATGGTAACTTAATGCTAGTGTAGTCTAGAAATTTATCTGGCACATGGGAAGCTCTTAATAAACTTTTCATTTTCTTGTGTGTCAATGAATTAATTGGTTTGTCTCTAAAATGACTAACTGGAGAGAAGATAGTGAGGCAGAGGGACATTTGTATTGAATAGGCACAAGGGATGGCTTTGGAAAAGAAATTCCTGCCTTGGAAGGGCTGACTTGGATGTGGGCTTTGCAATGACTATCACTTCAGGAGGGCAAGGGGTGATTGGGCTGGAGTACAGTGGAGGATGAATGGATAGGAGCTGAAGGAGAGAGGGAGACTAGGAAGGAAGGAAGGAATCAACAGCAGACCTACTTCATACCTTGGGCCTTAGATGTGACTTTGCATAATCAGGACTACTTACTCATAGTAAGTACTTACTCAAGCTGATTGTCCTTGTGTTCTTCCATTGTAGATTCCCTAAAATACCAGCAGAGATGTATCTAATGAATTGGGGAAATGGGTCCATTAATAAAACTGGCTGAGAGTCCCAAAAGACAGGAACAGAATTAGGTTAACTGGTTTCTTCCCGCCCACTCCTACATTTTGGCCATAACAAAACTTAGCTTTCTTATTCTTCTGCCCATGAATATACTTATGCCCTCAGTAAGGATACAGTGAGGATAGAGGGATAATGCTGGAAAATTCCATATACATCCTGCAGCAGGTATATTTAGATGGTTCACCAACACCAAACCCTTTGGAAATGTATACATGGCAATAAGCATCAGTAGATGTTATCAGTTGTTCTTAAGTCTATTTTTTTTTCCTCTATGCCCAGCTGCTTCTCTTAAGCCCCATGTGCATAGATAAATGTGCATAACTGCCCTGGAAAATAATCTTTCTTCTTTCTAGCCTGGTTTCTGCAAGAGTCTCCACTTATTAAGATCTTTAGTATTAAACAGGATGCAAAAAACCCCCCAAAACAAAACAAAATGAAACAAAAAACAAGCAGGAGTAAGTAAATTGGCTTGTTCTGCTCCTTAGTTTCCTCCTTTTTCCAGTAAACTCTACCTCCCTTCTGATGTATGGTCTTCTTGATTCTGCCTTAGTCTATTAGCTTCAGAAGAGTCTTATCTTTCCCCACTGGAACCATCCAATAGAATCTCAGAACCTTCTATAGAGTCATAATTCTGCTATTGACATAGGATGGGTGGGGCAGTACATTATAGTAGGGTGGGAGGTAATGGTTTCTCATCATTTGTGCCAAATTCAGAGCTGAGTCTTCCCCTTAGTGGCAGTAGTTTCAATGGATCTGATTTCTAGGCAGATTGAAGGGATAGCTTCTGTCTTATTTCTCTAGCAGATTGAGCACTTTCCCTGCCCAAGCTCAACTCATATGGGAACTCTGGGTTCTAACACCTGCAGCCTAATCCCAAAATGTAGCCAACTAACTACTCATTCATTCAACAAACACTGAAACTTGGAAGGAGCACCTATTTTTGCCAGGCACTGTTCTAAGTATGAGGGAAACATAGTGAACAGAATAGCCCAAACCACTTGCCTTTATGGAGTTTACACTCTAGGTGTGTGTTGGGATGGGGGATGGGGGGGCGGGGAGAGGAAGGAGTAACACAAGCAACAGAATACATGAGTAAATTGACCTTATCTGGTATGTACATTTTGGCCAGATTCTACACAATTTGTAACTTTTTGTGTGTGCAAGTCACGGAAACCTGAAGTTTCAGATCTTGACTTAATAAGGGCTGCATTGAGTTGATTTGTGGGTCAGAGTGACTTCTTAACATAGTGTAGTTTCTAACAAACTATTTGTAAAATTAATGGCCTCTGATGACCCCCATTACCATCTCCCTTCTTCCTGAAAGAAGGCATTTCATTGCTTTATGAAGCTGTACACAGAAGAGTAATTAAGTAACAATTCAGGCCAATGGCCTCTCGGAGGAATTAATGGTAGGGAGAGTTCATTAACCCCAGCTAGGTTATAGCTTCTCCAGGAAATGCCCTGGACCAAGGTTATCTTGGCGATTAATGTATTGGATAGAGGCTTTAACTGGGATAAAAATAAAGCTCTGTCTCCTTCCTGGGGAGCTTTTCTCCTTGAGGGGCTCCCAAAGGCAAGCCCATAGGGGCAGCAGAACCCCAAGCTTGGGGCCTTGAGTGGGAGGAGGGCAACAGATTGCCACTAGTGAGAACTGCTAAATCAAGGTAGAAACAGGGCACTGGGGGCAGATTAAGGTCCTTGTAGAAGCCTTCCTGCTATTTGGGAGGTGGCTTTTGATTAACACGCAGTGCAGCTTTAGGGCAGCTGTTTCCACCTTCTTAACTTTTGCAGGCCACACCCTGCCCTGCACAAAGTCGCTGCCAGAGAGATGCAGATTTTGCTGCATTGCTCCCAGGGATGCAGTGGTCTTTATGTGGAGGTCTGCTGTGAAAACCTCCTCTTTTGACAGGCTGGGCATTTGGGCTCTTTTTGCTGGGGCTTCACCCTCCTACTGCGAGGGGCCTGGTGGGATGCATAAGCCTGAGAAGCTTCCTGGGCCCTGGTTCTTTCTTCCGCTTCCTGGGGAGAGAGACCTATTTCTTCTGCTCACCTCACTTGTCCTCGCTTTACTTTGGCAAAATCTTCCTGGATATTTTTATAAATGAGCCTGGTTTTGAGGCTCATAGCCAGGCAAGGCTCTAGAACCTCGTTTTAGATCAGTTTTCAAATACAGAATCAAGTACACTATTTTCCTTATGTCCTTATTTTTAGTGACTATTTCTGTACAGTCTTTAGGCTCATGAAATCTCTTTGAGTTTCCTTTCAGAATCCTTCTCAGAATAGCTTTTTCAGAAGCAGAAACTTGAACTAAACTGAAATGTGAAGCAAAAGAGAGAAGAGAGAGAGAGAGAGAGAGAGAATGTACCAGTAGTTAATATTGTCATTATTTAATAACCAGTAAACTGTGGTAGTTTAAATTGGCAAAAGGTTATGTATTTTCTTTTAAAACTTAATCTATTTATTTTTGCCTGTTAACAAACCCTTTTTTATAGTTTTCATAGAATAGGTGTACTGTGGTATTTTGCCTTTTCACTCAATATTTTTTATGAACGTTTTCCAGGTTGATAACATTCATAATCTGCCTCACCGTATCCCTCTTACCACACTGTTTACTTTTTTGCATACCTAACTGCTCTTGAAGGCCTGGAGAGTACCTGTATGAATTTTCTAGAGCTGCCATGACAAAGTACCATGGGCAGTGAGGCTTAAACAACAGAAGTGTATTTCTCACAGTTCTGGTGGCTGTGAGTCCTGATCCAGGTGCTTCAGGGACTGTTTCTCCTAAGGCCTGTTTCCTGGGCTTGTAGACTGCTGAGTCCGCTCTGTGTCCTCACACGGTCATCCCTCTGTGTGTGTCCCTGTCCTCATGTCCTCTTCTTTTAAGGATATAGGTCATATAGGATTAGGGCCCACCCTAATGACCTCATTTAAAATTAATTACTACTTTGAAGGCCCTATCTCCAAATAAAGTCACATTCTGAGGTACTAGGTATTTATACTTCAACATTTGAATTTTGGGGGTGATACAAGTCAGCCTACATGCGGTATTCAGCAAATGGTGAACTGTGACCAAATTTATGAACATTCAGGTTGTTCTCTGTCTGCCTAAATAACAGCACTTGAGAGAATATATTTGTATAGTCATTATATTTTTTCAGAAAGAACCAGCATATTAAAGTAGACACATACTTGTGCCAGTTTTGAATGTCTTTTCATTAGTTTATCAGTCAACTGCTTTTTATTTTACAGATGAGGAAAGACCAGAGAGATTACATGTCTTATTGGGATTAAAAAAGACTTTTAAACAATGTGCTGAACCTGAGACCACACCTCTCAACATTTTCTGGTTCATTCTTCTGTAAGCCTAGGAAAGTGTAACAGGAAAAGGGCATTAGCTCAATGATAATGCAGGGCTGGTAGTATGGAGCTATTATTCTGGGTACTTCACATATTAGTGACATAATTTTTGTTTTCAGTGAGGTCATTTCTTCTAAAGTAACCATGCTTGACCTTTGCTTTCATAACCATTTGCTTTATTTTATTTTATTATTATTTTTTTAAAGAATATTCTGACTTTTGTTTAATTTTTTTTTAAATGTTTTATTTATTTCTAGGAGAGAGAGAGAGAGAGACAGTGTGAGCAGGGGAGGGTCAGAGAGAGAGGGAGTCGCAGACTCTGAAATAGGCTCCAGGCTCTGGGCTGCCAGTCAGCACAGAGCCCGACGCGGGGCTCGAACCCACGAACCGCGAGATCATGACCTAAGTGAAAGTTGGACGCTAAACTGACTAAGCCACCCAGGCGGCCCCATTTGCTTTATTTTAAATTTGCTTCTCTAGCTTTAGTTCAAAAAGTTTGCAGTTAGAAAGTGATCATTAAATGGAGGATTCCTTAAAAGCATAACTAGAAAGGATAACTAGAGCCTCTGCAAGCAGACTTTTGTAAAAGTTTTACACTAAAATTTAGTATAATTCTATACTCCCTTCTCAGTTCTTCTGTGTTCTTTCTACCGAGTACTGGGAATACCTTTAAACTGCTTATTGGTCCCTTTTGATAATTACAGAGAAGTCTTTCATACATTGAGATTTTAGAATGTCTTTTACTTAGCAGAAGTAATACTGTGGTGGAATGTTTATACTGTAAATGACATGTTTAGCTTAGCTTTGGTTATATGATTCATTATTCTTCATTTATTTAGTATTTTTCTGAGCACCTTGGTAGATAATGGGATAACCCAAAGATGACTAGCATACTCAGTTTCATAAGGCTCTGCACTGTGATAAGTGTTATAATGTAGGCAGAATGAAGTTGCTTTGGAGTTCAGAGAGGGAGCATCAAACTTTATGATTTAGGGAAGCTTCAAAGGAGTGGTACCTTTTGGAGAGAGTTGCGTCCTAAAGGAAGAGAGTAACATTATAGATAGTAGGAAAGGATACTCTAAGAGGAGGGAATAATAGATTCAAAGGCATAGTATGCTCATTGGTGAGTGGTAAAAACTCACTGTAGTTTTTGCCCAAAGTAGCATATCAGAAGGTGTGTTATATGAACAATTGGTTGTGTAACTGATAGATTTAGCTGGGGCATGGAGATAACATTTTTTATTTTAAAGATTAATTTTAAATAGTAATAGTTAATATTTAGTAATGCTATAAGTAGTATATTAAAACTTGATTTACAGGGGCACCTGGGTTGCTCAGTTGGTTAAGCGTACCAACTTTTGAGTTTAGCTCAGGTCATGATCTCATGGTTTGTGGGATTGAGCCCCACATCAAGCTCTGTGCTGATAATGTGGAGTCTCTCTCTCTGCCCCTCCACTGCTCACACTTTCTCAAAATATAAATAAGTAAACTTTAAAAAAACTTGATTTAGAGACATTGATTTGAATGAGAATAAATTTATTTGAGTAAAAACAGTCCTTGGTTTAAAGAAAAATATTAAGTAGACAGCGATTCTGGGGGAAGATGAATGTAGCAAACATTGTGAATGTGAGTAAAGTTTGGGGATTAGTGTTCTAAAAGCATATGAAGCAAAGGACAGCTAGGTCAGCTGAGGACCACCAAGTGTTTGTGCTCAGGATGTCGGGTTTCATCTTAAAGCACCCAAGTGGCATTGTAGACTTTTAGGTGGAAGAGTGACATGATCATTGTATTTGAGAAAGATAATTCTGGAACAGTGAAGGTTGGATGGGAGGAGGAAGCCCCCAGTGCTTGTCCAAACTGTG